CGTAGATGACACAGACACTTGATAGTTGGATGGTAACATGTAAAGCCCGTGCTCACAGTGGCCTCTGTACCTCACCCTGTGGGTGTTGTTGTCCAGGATCTGAAAATCAGTAGGGGTAAACAGTAAAGAACAGTTATTGTCTTTTGTGAAGCGATGGACAGATAAAAGGTGGGATTTAAGAGAAGGAACATGCAAGAGGTTACCAAGGTGAAATATGCCAGAGGAAGTGGGTATTTTACCTGAGCCAATATGAGCAATAAGGAGAGAATGACCACCTGCACTAGTAACAGTATCAGTACCAGAGTAAGGCGTATGACAGTAGAGACGTGACAAATCCGGAGTAACGTGAGTGTTGGCACCCGTATCTAGAAACCAGTTCCCATTTGAAGTAGTGGATTGTGATGCATAATGTGCTTGTGGAGAGGTGTTGGAGAGAGGACCTGCATATTGTGAGTCATAATGATGCCAACAGTCCCATGCAGCGTGATTGTATTTGCCACAGATTTGGCAAACAATAGAATCACGACTCGAGAGAGAACCACCCTGGTTGCCAAACTGCCCACGTCTGCCAGCCCCTCTACTAGAGTTTTGCCCACGGACGAAATTCTGCCCATGGCCAGAGTATGGCCCACGTCCACCGGGGCTGCCACGGCCACCACGACCCCGGTTTGGACCACGACCATGACCACGAAAGTTTGATTGAGTGTAAAGGGCCGTATGAGCATTTGTGGAGGATGTGTCACGCAGGTGAAGCTTTTGTTCCATCTGAAGATTTAATTCTTCTTGTATCAACCAGGAAACAACTTTAGTTAAGGTGATATTTGCAATATTAGTTCGGATATTCTGTTTGATAGATGAATATTCTGATGGTAAACCACGTAGGACACACAGTATCACATCTTGCTCAGGAATCTCTGATTTTGCACGATCCAATTCAGCAACAATTTTAACAATAGAATCCAAATAGACTTGCATAGACTCAGTTCCCTTGTGAACATTATGCAATTGATCCTTGAGTTGAAAAATATGAGTGCAAGAAAGAGAATTATACCGCAGTTGCAAGTGAGACCAAATGGCTGCAGCGGTGGTTTGTCCGTGAAGGTAGGGATGCACAGATGGACTGATTATGGCAAGGAGACAAGCACGCAATTGATCATCAATAATCAACCATTTTTCATATTCCGGATTGGGACTGAGCGTGACCTTGCCTTCTTTATCAACGGCAGAGACAGTAGATGAAGGAGAAGGGCGGCTTCCATCCACATAGGGCAAAAGTCGGTGTGCAGTCAGATTGGCAGAGACAGAGGAGAACCAGGATGGGAAATTTTTATCATCAAGTTTCTCCGGAGTCAATGAATGAATAGCTTCAATCCCGTAGGTAAATCGGCAAGAGGATCAGATTTGGCCATGGGTAAATTAAGCAGCTTCCGGCAAATCGGTGGTATTCAATTTGTGTTGATAAGATTTAGTAATTGTTGTGTTTTTGCAATTGGTAGTGGACCAATGATTGGCACGGCACAATCCACAGAGAAAGAAAAGAATTTTTTTTTGTTTAACACAATCGCAAGGGAGAAAAAAAAAATTGTGCGTTCCGGAACACTGCTAAGAAGAGGAAGACGAAAGAGTTAGAGTTTGAGGAACCCTTGCTCTGATACCATATTGGGAATTGTAATTGAACCCCAAACTATAGTGAAAAGAGTTACAGAATATATATAGATCTACTATAAGACAAATTACATAATGACCCAGAATTAATATAAATTATATATTTTGTCTAACAATTTTCAAAAAATCCTGTTTAGTGGCCGTTAGTTTTTTAACGGCGGCCCAAAACTTGCACACATGCAGAAAGGTGAGATTAATTTGTATTTGTTTAATATTCTGAAGTTTGCAATGTGACTAAAACGCCTATCATGTATATATATACGATGTGTTTTTGTATTCACCACCTCCATTAAATCCAGCATTTTCATCGCATATTAGGTTATACGTCTATTCTTTGAGTTCATTCCTTTATTTAATTTAATTGAATATTTTGTCTTTTATTATTTAAAAGGAGCATCACAGATGGGTCCAAATTTGACGATATTGCTACGTGTTGATGGGACATGGGATACTCATGGAAGCTTTATATTGTGGCAGTGTAGATATATTGTGGCAGTGTATATATTGTGGCATTATATTTCAGACATTGAATTTTTGGCTGTGCATATATTGTGGCAGTGTATTTCAGACATTAAATTTTTGGAAGTACATATTGTGGCTAACATTATGGCAATGTATATATTGTGGAAATGTAGATATATTGTGGCAGTGTATATATTGTGGCAGTGTATTATATTATATCTATTCTCTTAATCTCTGAGTAGTTTTTCTCTCATTTTACAACACGATATCAGCATGAATTTGCTCAAAAATCTCAGAATCCTTGTTCTTCTCAGAAGGTATATTTATTTAATTTTCTTCACAAACAAACTAAAATATTTTCTTAGAAACTATGAGAAGTATGCTCTGTGATTGCCCGAATTGTGGCAGTGTAGATATATTGTGGCAGTGTATATATTGTGGCATTGTATTTCAGACATTGAATTTTTGACAGTGCATATATTGTGGCAGTGTATTTCAAACATTGAATTTTTGGAAGTACATATTGTGGCTAACATTATGGCAGTGTATATATTGTGGCAGTGTAGATATATTGTGGTAGTGTATATATTGTGGCAGTGTATATACTGTGGCAGTGTATATATAATACAAATTTGTTTA